TTGTCCTTCTTATCTCCAGTAGCCCATCCTCATTCTTCAATATGGACACCTGGCATTTTCTCAGCCTTAAGTAAGCTCAGCTCCCGGCTCCCCTGCTTTCCAACCGGACCACCAGCCCTTGGCCCCTATCAAACTTCTGGAGCTGCCTCCTCAATGATGGAGGATCAGACTCCACAGGCATCAGGACATGGGGAGGGGGCAGCAGGGCTCTTTCCTTTACCTCAATCCTGCTGGGCTAACGCTTGTGGTGTTCACTAGGCTTCACTCTGTAATTTATGTCTCTGGCTCCAGAATTTCAAGTTCTACTTAGTAACACCTACCTGCGAGTGGCTTCCCAGGGAGCTAAAGGAAGAGGTTTGAACTTCAGAGCACAGCTGCAAGGTTCTTCTCTGAACTGAACAATGGCTGTAGCTGTGGACCAACAAAACCAGGCTCCTCAAGTACAAGAAGAGGTTCAAATAGTGAAGCTGGAACACGAGTCCCACTGGCAGCAGGAAATTTCCCTTCAAGGGAGTGACCCCGGACCAGAGACCTCCTGCCAGCGCTGTTGGCATTTCCACTATCAAGAAGCATCAGGGCCCCAGGAGACCCTCATCCAACTCCGGAAGCTCTGTCGTCAATGGCTGAGACCAGAGGAGTATACCAAAGAGCAGATCCTGGAGTTGCTAGTCCTGGAACAGTTCCTGACTGTCCTCCCCCAGGAGATCCAGATCTGGGTGAGACAAAAGCATCCAGAGAGTGGAGAAGAGGCTGTGGCCCTTGTGGAGGACTTGCAGAAAGAACCTGGAAGACGGAAGCCACACGTTAAGATTCAGGAACCTCGTTCCGAGTACTTAGAATGGAAGGATGTGAGAGAGACAGCCACCTGGGCTTGCCAGCAGTGGGGGGACGTGTAGTACTTTGCTGTTTATTGTGTCAGAGTAGAATCTGCTTATTCCCTGGGACCAGGAGCTGCAACTCGCCTCCCAAGTCCAGACTGACTCTTCGGAGAATGCACAACATTGGTTCCTCTGAGTGTTGTCCCTGTCATTACATGACAATGACTTAAAATGGCTTGAATACTGCTCTGATCAAAGAGGAGCACAGAAAAGCTGTTTTCTTTTTGGAGAACAGCAGTCATTCGGCAGCAGCCAACCCAAATCAAGGGGCTTCACTAATCTTGACTGACATTATTGCATCTTTGGATCCTATTGCAAAATAGCTGCATTGATGGCTGGATCTCTTGAGTTTTGCCTAGGGGTTGACCCAGAGAACTGGTGGGCAGATGGCTGTGGGCCTGCATTCTAGCCCATGTCTCTCTGAAGTCTTCCACACACCCACACTCCTTACTGCCCCTGCAATGATTTGCATAAGGCTGATTCCCCCTTTGCTTTTTTGTGTCTTGGGACACAAGTTTTAGTGCCTACAGAATTTTGGCCAGTTCCAGTTCATCAACAGAGACAGGAGGTGCTCGCAGAGAAGGAACCCTCAGGATCAGTACTGGGCTCCCTAAGTGTCTATCTGAAGCAAGCACAGACAGAATCCATGTGTCTGTTCTAGGCAATGGTGAAGCGCTCACAGCCAGAACCAGAACAGCTTAACCACGGCCCCAAAGCAGAACTCCAGTCCCTGCACAAGGGCGGTAAGCAGCAGCAGTGTGGATAGGAAGGGAGGGACCTTCTGTGGGGAGGGCAGGAAAGCCCCTCTGAGTGCAGACAGTGGGGTAGAGGGCACAGCCCCTTTCCACTCGGAGAATGCGGCATGAGAACTGACCACATCAATCTGTGGGGTCCTCAGCAAGGCACCTCCAAGGGAAGGACTTGGTGTTTTATAAAACTAATAGGGGGGCCTGTGGCACCTCTCGTGATGTGAATGAGAGATTACTGGTCCCAAGAGGTCAGGTGTGGGTAGAGATTTTAGACCTGGTTGGTGGGACAGGCACAAAGAAGGGTTAAACTAAAGTGCAGTAATTCTGAAAATGTGTCCCCCCAAACCAATTCGGATGGTTCAAGCATGCTATCAAAACTGAAGAATAAAATCTAAAACTCTGACAATCAGTAATGTGGATGGACATGGAAGGGAAAAATGAGGCACTCTCCTCTTAGGAATGTGCCATTGTGGTTTTTAGCCAATCCTTTGAGAGGAGGAGGAAGACTTCTGTTTTTGAACTCAGTTGGGCTGGTCCCCAGGAGCAATGGAGACACGCTGTCCTCTAAATGGCTCCTTTTCCTTCCCCGAGCCCTGCCTGGTCCTTCGG